GCTGACCTCGAATTTACAGAGATCCACCCGCCTCTGCCTCCTGAGGCCCGGAATTAAGCCACCATTGCCCAGCTATTTAAACTCAAACAGTCTTACCTAGCTTCTTTTATATCAACACCATGATTCATAATCTCTCTCTCTCTCTCTCTCTCTCTCTCTCCCTTTCTCTCATGCATGCATGTGCACACACACACCATTTTGGACCAATGTTCTTCAAATAAAGATAAAGAAAAGTAGAGAAAAATGACCATGTGTCTTCCTTACTAGCATTTTTTCCACCACTGAACTTACTGTTGACTTGAGACATTTTACAGAATTGACCTTCTGTCTCTCCAGTCAGTAGATTTTATTAATGATTTATTTCCAGGTTTACTTCTTACTTCTTCTTTTGAAGAATTTTGGACACTGACATCTCATGAAATATTATATTCTGATGCCCTTCATCTTCTAACATATAAGTATCAAACTGATACATAGAGGTCTCAAAACTATAGTATTAAACATTAGAAAATCTACTCTGTCTGAACTACAGGACCAGTTCAAGGGCAGTGTAGTCCTCTTAGAAAGAATCTGTCCTAAAACAAAATGCGTGGCTTAGAAAGGGGCTGTGGTAGCGCACGGAAGGGAGATGGGAAGTCAGGAATGTAGCTCGGCTAGTTGCTGGTAGAGTGTCTACCTAGCATGCTGGCATGCACGAGGTCCTTGGATTGGTCCCCAGCACCACACCTGCAATTATAGCACTTGAGAAGAGGATCAGGAGTTCGAGGTCAGCCTGGGCTATGTAAAAACTAACTAACTGACTAGATAAACAAATGGTGGTCGAGATGAAATAGATTGACTAGATGTTGATAACTGTTCAAACTGGATGTTTGGGGAATACAGGTTTAGAAAACTAAGGCAGGGGTATGTTTGAAATTTTCCATAGTAGCATAGTTAGCACATTTAAGAGTTCCATATTGCAGTTGTGTTCCCCTCTTTGTCACCCTTTGTCACACCCTCAGAGTGGAAATCCTATTAGAGAAATCCTATTAAACATTTACCCAAAAGAACCAAATTGCACTGGACATTTCTTTGGTTTTGACCTGACTTCAGAGACAGGTGTCCTGTGAAGACTCAGCAGGATCCACGGAAATGAATTTTCTCTCTCCTCTGCAGTACCTACAGACTTAGTTATAGCACACAGCCAATTAACACAGCGGTGGAGATAATGATTCATGGATTCATACTTGAACAGCTCTGTATTGGAATCAGGAAGAATGGCCTGTTATACTCCCATGCCAACACAGGGAACAAGGAATTCTTGATGGCTTTGACGCGATCAGGAACTGCTCCCACATAAAAGACATTTCAAAAGCAAATAGTGATGCAGAATCATTCATAAGCAAATAAGCTCCAAAGGTCACAAGGCTAGAGGTAGCCACAGACTTTAGCATAGAAAGACAGTTTGTATATGGCAATTTTCCATAATGGTATAACTTTGTTTTTATTGTTTTGTCTGTTTGTTTTTGGTTTCTCCAGACAGGGTTTCTCTGTGTAGCCCTGGCTAACCTCGAACTCACTCTGTAGACCAGGCTGGCCTCGAACACGTAGCTCCACCTGCCTCTGCCTCTGCCTCCCGAAGGCTGGGTTTAAATGCAGGCACCACCACCACCAGGCTTTTAAAGCAATGGGGAAATCTTTTGTAATTAGAAAACATAAGAAGTGGCAATAATCATAGACTATTCTTTGCACTTGTTAAGTTGATATGTGTGTCAGAATATTTTAATTAGTCACAGAAGGCTAGAATGCTGGTGGACCTATATGGGAGCTGTCAACTAATCAACTAATTTCAGCGACAACTTGGCACTAGCCCAAGAGCTCCCAAGTACTCGTTCACATTGCAGAGAAGGTGTCTTCTAGGACAGGGACCTGAGTAAAGAGAGTTACTCCGTTTAGTGGGAATTATGGGAAGGATGAGGGCCTATCAACCTTGAAATGATAGGCTGCCAGGAGACAGAATAACCATTTTCAAATATTCGAGGTGTTTATAGCAGAGACAGAGAGGTAGAGAGTGCCGTGGAAGTCAAGACTGTGGCATGGGTGGTGTGCACCTGTAATCCCAGTGCTTTAAAGAGGTGGAGGCAGGAGTTTAAGACCAGCCTCAGCAAAATAGCAAGACCTTGTCACGAACAAACTGGAACTAGTGACCAAAGATTCAAAGATCCAGATAGCAATTCATCCTTTAAAGAGCTTCTAATGGGATCAAAAACCTCTCATAAGGAACTGATTGCTCTATACGAAGGGTAGTTTACGGTGCTGCTCAAAATGTGGGCATAGGAAGGTTCTAGTCTGTGCTTTTTTTTCTTTTCTTTTTTTCCCCCTTGAAATTGTTCTCCCAAACTTCCAGTGTTGAAGCTTGATCTCGAAGTCTCACACAGCATGTTAATCAAGCACTGGACCTCTGAGTTATACCCCGCATTCTGTTTACATTTTAATGACATTTTCACATCTAAGATCACGTTTCATACCCATGAAAACCCGTGTTACAATTACCCAGAAATTCTATTCCTTTATTTAGAATATTTACATGCTTAGGTATCAAATAGTTTTCATACCTTCCTGATATATTTGGCACACAACTTTAATCCCAGCAGTTGGGAGGCAAAGGCAGGCAGATCTCTGTGAGTTCGAGGCCAGCCTGGTCTACAAAAGCTACTTCCAGGATAGGCACCAAAGCTACAGAGATACCCTGTCTCAAAAAACAAGCAACAGCAACAACAACAAAAAGCACTTAACTTGAGCTTTGTCTTCTTCACAATATTTAGGTGTAGCATGTTTAATAGCACAGCTATATTAACTATGGGCATAGTATGGTACAGAAGTTCTCCACAGCCTAGCCACCTTGAAATGGCTGAAGCTTCACAATCCCCCATTTCCCAGTTGCCCCAGAAACCAGCATCCTACTCCCCACTTCTGAGTGTTCAACTATTAATATGTTCCTGTCGTAGAAGCAGGATTATGAATAGTTGGCCCTTCTGAGTCCTGTTTCACTTAGCATAAAGCCCCAAGGGCTCATTCGTGTTGTTGCATGTGACAGGATTTCCTTCTTTTCAAAGGCCAAATAATATTCCATTGTAAGTCTACCCTGCGTGTACTTTATCCAGTCACCCATTCATAGACGTTGGGTTTGTTCTGTCATCTTGACTGCTGCGAATAGCGCTGAATGATGAATATCACAAAGACCTCCACACCCTGATTCCCGTGTGTTCTTTACGGCGGTTCCTTGAGGGAAGGAACACGGTCTCCATTATAAATTAACACACCACTTCCTCCGTCACGGACGTCTTCTGTTTTTAAAATTTTTGTTTATGATGATGATGTGTGTGTGAGTGTGTGTGCACATGCCACAGCACGTGTTTCGAGATCAGAGGACAGCTTCCAGCCATCAGCTCTCCTCTCACACTGTGGGATCATGTCGTGCACCCAGGGCTTTTACCTAAGGATCCCTATTGCTGTCCCAAGGAAAGCTTCTGAGGGAGAGAAATTCAGAAGAACTGAAACGGTATCCTTAGTGACACCGATGAGAACTTTACGACTACATTGGAAATAATTTACCCAGTGAGTGCTTCATGAAGCTAGAGACTTTTCATTGTAATGAGGCTATCGCACTACAAAATGTGTAGGAGTGGAAAGCCCATTTTGCCCTTAAGATATATTTCATTAACAAAAGTCACATTTGTAATCTTCGCATCATGAGGGTATAAAGTTGCTTCCCAAAATGTATCAGTGTTGCTCTTTGGATGATATTATAAGCAACGTAGACTAGAGGCAGGAGAATGACTGCGAGGGTGAGGCAAGCCTGGGCTACATAGTTAGTCTCTGTCTCCACAAATGAGAATTTGAAAAACCTGGGACCATATTAATCGAATCTTTGCTAGAGTTTCTAAATTAAATAGCAAGTATTGCATATGTGTATACAACTTTCTTAAGAGTCTACTGCAACTATTTCATAGTTACTTTCTTGTTATTATAAGAGAGTATCGGACAAAAGCTGTTTGGGGAGAGAAAGTTGCTATTTAGGCTTGGAAGTTGGAGGGTATAGTCCATCATGGTGGGACAGTCCTAGCAGCAGCTGCTTTGAGGCAGCTGGTCACATTATATCCAGTCCAGAAGCTGAGACAAAGAATCCCTGGGTTTGGTTCACTTCTTCACTTTTAGAAGTCCAGGATCCCAGCCTTGGGAATGGTGCTGCCCACAGTGGGTAGGTCTTCCCGCTTCAGTGAACTAATCAAGATATCCCCTCACAGGCGTGTTCAGAGATGCCTCTCCTGGGTGAATCTAGACAAGTTGACGGCTAAGCTCAGACTACACAAATCATAAGAGAAGAATTCTTTTATTGTCCTTTGGTTTACTATTTATTATTTTTAAAGACAGCATCTCACCGTATACTGCTAACCAGCCTGGAACTCACTACGTCGAGTAGGCTGCTCTTAAAGTCACAGAGATCCTCCTACCTCTGCCTCCTAAATGCTTCAATTAAAGGCATGCACCACCATGCCAGGTTAGAAGAGCTCCTTTTGAAGTTCTCTTCACTAATGTGCATTTTCCCAGGTAGTATTTACTCAAATGATAATTTCCGCTATGTGCAGCGCTAAACAGCCGTCAAGTCATCATTATGGTCCTTTGCACTGGTTGTATTGTCTGTGCATTGTACATAGTACTGACGGAGGGAGAGAGGGAAAGTTCAGCTCCGGCCCCAGTTGCTTATCCTGCTATCCACCTGATGGCAAAACTACCCCAGGCCTGGTGACCAACAGTCCCAATTCGCATAGGATTAAAGGGCTTCCCATATATGGTACTTCATGCTACAGTCAGGAGAGTCCTAAGCACCCCAATAAGGTCACAGTACGATGCATGTATAAGCCTCAACTCTGGAATCCCCACTACAGAATAATATGCCTGGGACCAGTGACATGGTAACGGGATTTTCACATTAGTTCTCTTCCCATTATGTTTTCAAGGTGAAAGAATCATGCAGTCACACCAACATCCTGACCAAGCCGGATCCAAGAACCTTCTGGACTAATGATGATTCAGGTATTATTAGTTTCATGTACCCAGATCCCAGGATATGCTAGGTGCATTCTGTATTGTTTATTTGCACGTGTGTGCCTAGCCTTTCATATAAATACGGTTTGCTATCAATTTTATTCTCATAAGCATCCTTTCATTATGTTTGTCTACTTCGGTGTCTGAGGTACATATACCATCTGGTATAGCTTTGTGCACTGCAAAATATATCCCCGTGCTGGGGAACTGAAGCATGGGTCTGTTTCCTAGAGTGATGGGGAGATGAGAGGAGTAACACAGGCAAGTACGTTACCTCAGATTTCTTAGTAGACACGATGGCTCACGCTTCTGATTCCACTACTCAGAAGGCTGAGTCAGGAGGATCAAGGCCAACTTGGGATATAGAGGAAGGAAAAGGTATTCCAAGAGCCAAAATTAAATCATTTATTAAATTTATTGTGGGATAACAGGCCATGACTGTGCCAACTTGGGATATATAGGAAGTAAAAGATATTCAAAGAGCCAAAATTAAATCATTTATTAAACTTATTGTGGGATAACAGGCCATGACTGTGCCTGTTATGAGTCAATGATCTGAATTCCGTTAAGAATAAGACGGACACGGCTCTGTGAGATGAGCCACTATGCCTCAGCTCATACAAGATCAGCAGGGCACAGAACTCACAGGTAGAGCAAGGACCTAGCCTGCACAAGGCCTAGCGTTGCTCCCCAGCACCACCAACAGAACAGAAACTAAGCAAAACAAAAGAGGCCTTGGATTTGGCCTGGGATTGAAGCTCTGTGGTAAAGGCCTTAACTAGCATGTGTCAGGCCTAGGTTCAGGTGTAGGACAGAAAAGAAATCAGACAGGGGGTAAAGTGTGTTCTAGGAGCAGAAAGACTTTTTTTCTGTGAGCCATAGGCTGAACCGCACCGGGTAGATGCTAGAAAGGAAAGGGGGCGGGGCTGAAGCCCGAAGGGGCTAAAACAGCTGAGAGGGTGAGAGAATCGGGCTTTCGCCTTTTCTAATTAAGTAGGGTCTAATGAAATAGAAAACCCATGCTGATCCTTAATATTTATGTTACGCCTCACACATTTATGAAGTGTGTTCACGAGCATTTAGTTTGGTGCCTGCAGCAGGCCTGTGAAGTAGGAGGGGCCGTCTAACCCCAGGATACTGGAAAGGAGGCAACAGACTAGAATGGTTGTCTGAGACCCTCCACAAAACAAGGCCGGAACAGCCAAAGGCTAGGAGCAGGGCAGAGCCCAGCGCCAGCTCCTATACTCCACTTCCTGGAGAGAGCCAGCTGTCCTCTGAGAAGCAGCGGGGCTAACTGCGTGCTTTAATCTTTTCTTCGTAAAACAGAGTCAAAGACTGCGTCTATCAGCTGCAGCGAGGGACTTGGGGTGGGGGTGGGGTGAAAAAGCTCTCTCGATGGGTTTCTTCTCTTTGAAAGACCAAGTTGACAGTCTAAACTTACCAATTTTATCTATCATTTTCTTTTTCTGTTTTGTATGATGTGCGTCTTTTGAGGAAAGATGAGAAAACATGAAAGTGCCGTGGCCTATTTATGTCATCATTTCAGTCCATTAGCTGAACAGAAAAGCAATAAACAAGCCATCTGCTGGCGAAGACTGCTGAGATCGCCAGCTCTCGTAGCATGAAGGAGCAAAGCAGAAGGAAGCCTTAGCGTGAATGACTTGATATGACCGGAAGGGAATGGAAGGAGAGGGGACTCGATCTGGGGCGGGCACGAAGACCTTGGGCGCTTTCAGGAGGCAGAGGAAGTAAAGCATAAGAACTCTGAACGCAAAGCATATCTGAGGCAGAGGGATTGTGAGTTGGAGGCCAACCTGAGGTCTACAGGGTAAAATTCTGTCGCAAAAAATCAACCTCAGAGAAATAAAAATAGAAATCTATAATATCTACTAACTTTGAAAACTTGTCCGTTGACTATGGGGTCCCTCTTGCACCTCCTTCCTAACAACAATAGGAGCCATGTCTAGTGGGATTGTCTCTTTTTATGTAGCTATTCATGTATGTACTGGGACAGGAGCGTTGAAGTCTTCATGGATGTTGGTGGAATTGTCCAACGAATGTTTCATTTAGTCAGTTTTGCCACACACATACACACACACACTTACGCACACATATAGGTTGTGTGTGTGTGTGTGTGTGTGTGTCCACCTGCCTGTGTGTTTGGTGCTTTCAGAGGTCAGAGGACAAATTGAGCATCATTTCTCAGACATTATCCAACTTTTTCTTGAGATAAGTTCTCTCTGTGGCCTGGAGTTCATTGAGCAGGCTAGGCTGAGTAAGCAGCAAGCCCCAGAAACCCCTCTACCTGTCTCTGAGTCCCTAACAGTGGGTGACGGGGCATTGGCACCACACGTGAATCTTTGCACGTGAGTCCTGGAGAAAGTGTGTTCTTATCACCAACTGAGCTGTCTCCTCTGACTATATATGATATAAATATCTTATATTTTTAAGTTTTCTTGTTAGACACATGTATTTTTATGATTATTGTGATTTATTATTTATTTATTTTGAGAGATAGATAGATAGAGAAAGAAAGAAAGGAAGGAAGGAAGAAAGAAAGAAAGAAAAAAAGAAAGAAAGAAAAGGGAGAGAATGAAAATATTCTGTAGCCCAGGCCAGCCTTGAACTCCATACAAAGTCCAGCTTCCAGTTGGTAGAAATCCCCCTGTCTCTGCTTCCAGGATGCTGAGATTACAGATATGAGATACCATGCTTCACTTTTAATATTTTCTATTTTCTTTACTCTCTTTCTATCTCTCTCCCTTCTTCCCTCCCTCTCAGTACTAGGGACTGAATTTAGGAATTGGTGTATATTAATCAAGTGCTTTTACACAGAGCCCTATCCCTAGTGACATTTACTTATCCACCTACTTCCTTTTAGTTAGATTAATTAGATTTTCTTTCCAATTTGAGTACTGTATTAGTCAGGGTTCTCTAGAGAAACCAAACTTATAGAATGAATCTCTCCCTATACATAGAAAGATTAGAATGACTTACAGGCTATGTTCCAACTAATCCAACAATGGATAGTTGTGAATGGGAAGTCCAAGAATTCAGAAGTTGCTCAGTCCACAAGGCTGGGTGCCTCTGCTGCTCTTCAGCAGTCGCTGGAATCCTCAAGAAGCAGGCTCTCCTGCCAATCAAGGAATGGACTTGCTAGCTAGGCGAGAGCAGGCAGGCAAAGAACGAAAGCTTCTTTTTTCCTTCTAAAGACTTCCAGCAGAAGACGTGGCCCAGATGAAAGGTATGTGTCTTCCTGCCTTAGGATCCCAATGAAAGGCATCTGTCTTCCTACCTCAAAGGTCCAGAGAAGAAGTAGATCCATCTACAGGACATCAAGCAAAAATTATCTTACAGGCTTGCCCTCCATTTCTGGATTGTAGCTCATTCCTGATGTAGTCAAGTTGATAACCAAGACTAGCCATCACAAGGATAATATGCCTAAGTAGGTTATATAGTCTTGCTTGTTTATTTATCAAGACAGGGTTTCCCCTGTGTATCCTTGGCTGTTCTGGAACTCACTCTGTAGACCAGTCTGGCCTCGAACACAGAGATCTGCTTGCCTTTCTACCTCCCCAGTGTTGGGATTAAGGACATGAGCCACCACCACCCAGAAATATAGACTTTTAAGTAGACTCAGATCTAGGACATTAAATATTCTAGTTTAAAGTTGTTTCTTGCAGGGCATGGTGGTGCATACCTTTAAACCTAGTTCTCGGGAGGCAGAGGCAGGCAGATCTCTGTGTCTGAGGTAACCTGGTCTACAGAGCAAGTTCCCGGACAGCCAGGGATACATAAAGAAGTCCTGTTCTGAAAGCAAACAAAGAATGAGGAACTTCTGAGGATCAGCTCACTCTGAAGTCTGGTAGGAAGATTTTCACGCCCAGTGTCCTTTCATTCAGAAGAGAGGCAAGTTCATCTGCCATATGCAGATGCTGACAGAGACGCAAAACTTACAATTAAGTCTTGTTTTTGCATTTATGATTTGTAAGTCTTCCTTAACATGGGGTGTGAGCATGGTGTCATGTAGATAATTCCAGCAGGCAGGAGGATCAATCACTGCAAGTTTGAGACCAGCCTGACTACCTGGTAAAACCAAACCATCCCAGGAAGAAAGGAAGGAAGGAAGGAAGGAAGGAAGGAAGGAAGGAAGGAAGGAAGGAAGGAAGGAAGGAAAGAAGGACT